GGGCTTGAATCCAAGGCCCAGGCAGGCACTGTCCCTGAGCTCTTTTGCTCAGGCTACAGTGCCATATCCAGTTTTTGAGGTTAATTGGAGATAAGCGTCTCATGGGGACTTTTCCGCCTGGGCTGGCTTCAAACCGTGCTCCTCAGATCTCAGCCCGCTGAGTAGCTGGGATGGCGGGTGTGAGCCCCTTTTTTGTTATTACAGCGGTGATGTACAGAGGGGTTACATGTACACGCGTCAGGCAGCGAGTTCATTCCTTTCATACCGCGTGATCTGTGTCCTCATCCTCTACCAGTCCCTCCCTCCCATCTACCCACGGGTTGTATAGTTTGTTTTTGTCACTTGTTCCCCTTTTCCCCTCCAGTTCTGTGCCCTTCCCCCTCCTCCCAAAGATACACAAACGAATACACAGCCTATGAGGTAAAGAAGACAATCATCAAAAACAACAAATCTTTTGTTGCCCTTTCTTGGGAGTTCACTTCATATGTATATAATTGTATGAAAAGGCACTTAGGCATTGCACGTTTGTGCTCCTCTCCCGAGAGTGTCCTCTTTTGGTCTCACTGTATGTATCTGGAATCCTGTGTAGTTTGTCATATCCATGTATGTTTTAGATCTAACTTGGGAATATCAGAGCGAACATGCACCGTTTGTCCCTCTGATTGGTCTTTCCTCACTTAACATGATTTGTTCTAGTTCCATCCATTTCCCTGCAAATAACATTATTTTATTCTTTCCTTTTTTTTTGGTTGGTCATGGGGTTTGAACTCTCCTCAGCTCAAGGCTAGCGCTCTACCACTTGAGCCACAGCACCATTTCCGGCTTTTTCTGTTTATGTGGTGCTGAGGAATTGAACTCAGGGCGTCATGCACGCAAGGCAAGCGCTTTACCACTGAGCCACCTTCCCAGCCCCCTATTGTATTCTTTCTAATGGCTGTGTAAAATTCCATTGTATATAGGTACCACAGTTTTTGGATCCACTTATATATATGTGCTGTTTCCATATCTTGGCTATTGTGAATACTCTCCCCCTTCTTAAAAACTATTTCAGCAGGTTTCCTTCATGTGTTTATTTAGCCTGTCCTGGAGCTTGAACTCAGGGCCTGGATGCTGTCCCTGAGCCTCTTTGTGCTTCAGGCTGGTGCTCCAGTTTATTGGAAATAAGAGTCTTATGGATTTCCCTGCCCTGGTGGCTTCAAACCATGGTCCTCAGACTTCAGTGTCCTGAGTAGCAAGGAGTACAGGCATGAGCTACCAAGACCTGGCTTTTTGTCCTTTTATTCTTATATATGAGATTAAACTACCTGGGCCATTTCCATCCTCGTTCTTGTTCCCTGCCCCACCCCCACCCCACCCTCAACATCTCCTGACTCAGCTTCAGTGTGTACCAGCACCCTCGCTCCCCAGGTCTCAGCTGGGTCCTCCTTCTGTTCTTGTCTTTGCACCACACCTTTTTGTTGCTTTTCCGGGCTGTAATTTGCTATCCAGCCCGCTCTGGATGCCCTTCACTCCCTGGAGTGCTGGGAACGCCTCACATGGCCCCTCGCCCTCTTTTCCTGTGGCGTTGGCTCTTGTTGGGGCTCACCCCTATCGTGTGTGCATAGCTCTTCCCGGTCATGGGGATCAGGACCCACTGTGGGCCTTAGCACGTTGTCCATCCTTGCTCCCTGGACGCCTGTGCTCTGGCCTAGCTACAGGGTAGCCCTGTGCCAGGCCCCTCCGAGGATTTGTGGAAAACTGTCCACATAGGGCTGGTCACTTGTGGATTCCAACACTGTCTGGGTGAGCCAGCTGGAGTGCAGCAGAGGCGATGCAAAGGCCCCTGCAGTGTCCTCCTTCCCAGCCTCCAGACCCAAGCTGACTGTCCACCCCAGTGACCTGCATCACTGCTGAGGCTGGTGGCTGCTTTTGCTATTACTGTATTTTGCTTATATAAACAATAACTGCATTCATTCTCCTTCCTGTTTTTGTTGTTGTTATTGTTGGTTTGGGGACCTGAACTCTGGGCCTGAAGAGCTGTCCCTCAGCTCTTCAGCTCAAGGCTAGCACTCTACCACTTGAACCACAGCACCATTTCTGGCTTTTTCTGCATATGTGGTGCTGAGGAATCGAACCCAGGGCCTCAGGCATGCAAGGCAAGCGCTCTACCACTGAGCCACCTTCCCAGCCCTCCTTCATACAATGAGAGTGGGAGCTCTGTCTCTGGTGAGCTCTCAGGCCTCGCCGTGTCCTTCTGCCAGGTAGACTACCCCCTCCGGCTTGTGTGTGTCCCCCAGCCCTTCCCTGTACTGACACGGACACTTGCACACAGAATCGTGCACTCCCATATATGTAAACACTTTAGCGCATGTTTGCACATGTTCCCACACGTGTACACATGCATATGATTGTGCTTTTGTTACGTGTGTGCCTTATAAGCATGTACCCATGTGCACATCTATCCACAGGCACTGTGTGTTGTCCTGGAGATCTGTCTAGCAGGCATGTAGCAGTGGAGTGGACCTGGAAGAAGATAGGCTACAGGACAACAGGAAAGGCAGAGACAGTCCTGGACTATGGCTAAGGGAGTCACAGGGTCAGATGTAAAATCTAGAAAGTGTGTGTGTGTGTGTGTGTGTGTGTGTCAGAATCTTACTTTGTGGCCCAGGCTGGCCTTGAACTCCATCTTGTCTCTGCCTTTTAAGCGTGTGTACCTAGTTTAGAGTCTATTTGGGAAGTGATTTAAAGGTTCTTACTGTTTATGGTGATGGACCACGGCTCCATGAGTGTCCCAACTTGCAGGAATTGTGTGTATGCTTTAATAGGTGTATCATTTGGCATGTGGAGTTTTACTCTGACTTGATCTACCCAGGCTACCATAGTCAAATGCCCACAGGCTGGGCCCCTGTTCTCTCCGGCTTGGAGAGAAGTCCAAGCTGAGCACCAGGCCTGTCTGTGTGCACCGCCTCCTGGTCCACAGAGAGCACAGAGCAGCTGGCTGGGCTTCCGTTCAAGGGCACTCACCTGTTCACCTAGGCGCCATCTCCTCTCTGAACCATCACTTTAGAGACTGGGTTTCAACACAGGTTTTCAGGGACACATTGAGTCCAAAACTCAAGGAAGCTGTTTAGCAGGAAGAAAGATTACTAGGGCCACTCTTAGTTAGCTAATTCTCTAAAACTGCCCACCCCTCCAGAGCTCCAGGTCCTCCACTCACCTCCACACCTTCGCATGCCACAAAACTGCTGTGGATACTCTGCCAACTGGAGGGAGGGGCATCCGCTAGAGAGAGATGGAGCAGAGCCTGGTCCTCATGGAGGGTTCTCTAGAGAGATGGAGCAGAGCCAGGTCCTCATGGAGGGTTCTCTAGAGATGGCGCAGAGCCTGGTCCTCATGGAGGGTTCTCTAGAGATGGCGCAGAGCCTGGTCCTCATGGAGGGTTCTCTAGAGATGGAGCAGAGCCTGGTCCTCATGGAGGGTTCTCTAGAGAGATGGAGCAGAGCCTGGTCCTCATGGAGGGTTCTCTAGAGATGGAGCAGAGCCTGGTCCTCATGGAGGGTTCTCTAGAGAGATGGAGCAGAGCCTGGTCCTCATGGAGGGTTCTCTAGAGATGGCGCAGAGCCTGGTCCTCATGGAGGGTTCTCTAGAGAGATGGAGGAGAGCCTGGTCCTCATGGAGGGTTCTCTAGAGATGGAGGAGAGCCTGGTCCTCATGGAGGGTTCTCTAGAGATGGCGCAGAGCCTGGTCCTCATGGAGGGTTCTCTAGAGATGGAGCAGAGCCTGGTCCTCATGGAGGGTTCTCTAGAGAGATGGAGGAGAGCCTGGTCCTCATGGAGGGTTCTCTAGAGAGATGGAGCAGAGCCTGGTCCTCATGGAGGTTCTCTAGAGAGATGGAGCAGAGCCTGGTCCTCATGGAGGGTTCTCTAGAGATGGAGCAGAGCCTGGTCCTCATGGAGGGTTCTCTAGAGATGGCGCAGAGCCTGGTCCTCATGGAGGGTTCTCTAGAGATGGCGCAGAGCCTGGTCCTCATGGAGGGTTCTCTAGAGAGATGGAGCAGAGCCTGGTCCTCATGGAGGGTTCTCTAGAGATGGCGCAGAGCCTGGTCCTCATGGAGGGTTCTCTAGAGATGGAGCAGAGCCTGGTCCTCATGGAGGGTTCTCTAGAGATGGAGCAGAACCTGGTCCTCATGGAGGGTTCTCTAGAGATGCGCAGAGCCTGGTCCTCATGGAGGGTTCTCTAGAGATGGAGGAGAGCCTGGTCCTCATGGAGGGTTCTCTAGAGAGATGGAGCAGAACCTGGTCCTCATGGAGGGTTCTCTAGAGATGGAGCAGAGCCTGGTCCTCATGAGGGTTCTCTAGAGATGGAGCAGAGCCTGGTCCTCATGGAGGGTTCTCTAGAGAGCAGAGCCTGGTCCTCATGGAGGGTTCTCTAGAGATGGAGGAGAGCCTGGTCCTCATGGAGGGTTCTCTAGAGAGATGGAGCAGAACCTGGTCCTCATGGAGGGTTCTCTAGAGATGGAGCAGAGCAGTCATGGCAGGCCCTATGGAGGGTGGTAAGGTTCACACCCCTGAGAACATGCACACCTGTATGCCAGGCCATCTCAGTACAGTGCTGGGAATGTGACCCACCTGGACCAGTGGCACGGGGTGAATGGGCACCTCTTTGACCTGTCAGGTGGCTCTTTGACCCTTGCTAACTTGCCAGGTCAGTGTCCTGGTCAGGCAAGAGACTCAGGCAGTGTTTTTCCTCTTCTGCCCCTAGCCTGCCAGGGTTCAGGCCCCGGGCACAGAGGTGGGCCGCGTGCTGGGCAGTGACGTTCTCAGCTCAGACTGTGCCCTCCAAACGTCTCCACACTTGAGGAAGATTGGTGCTCTGAGCAGAGAAGACCCCATCTGCCACCTTGGTGAAGATGCACACCCCCAGACCTGAGCCTGTTCTCCCTTGGGGAGCATGCACGAGGCTCTTGGGGTCCAGCCACCACAACGTGGGTCACCCCAGCCCCACCTCTTTTATCTTCCCAGGCATCAGTGGGCTCCGAGAAGCTCTTTGCCCCAGTAGCAGACAGAGGTGAGTGCATCCTGACCAGCTCCTGGTCTCTGGCTCTACAGTCTGGCAGGAAGGCAGAGATGGAGCAGCCGGAAACTTAGGAGGGTCTTCTATGGGCAGGGCAAAGGAGAGCTGGAACAACGTAAGGGAGCAGCTTCTCTTAACCACCTGGAGGCTTCTAGAAAGAGGAGGTAGGGTCTTAGAAACCAAGGAGATGAGCCGAGGCAGGTACCAGTCACTGACATACCTTGGTGGTATCTGTAATGTGGGTTTACAGCTGTACAAACTCTGTGGTTCTGTGGGGCCTAGAACACCCTGGAGGCCCTGGCTGTGCATCCTTGCATAAAGCAGAAGGCTTCTGGGGAAGATGGCGGTGTGACCACAGGAACCCCCAGTGGGCTGCCAGGAGTATTGGTGGGACTTGGGCACTCAGGGTGCCAGCCCAAGAGTACACCTGCCTCATCCCTGCCTCTCTCTGCAGGTCCAGCAAGGGGTGAGGAGTCTGAGGCCAAGGCGGGAGCAGTGCCCAAAGTGTCCGGCCTGGAGCGAAGCCGTGAGCTCAGCGCAGACCCCTTCCTGCTGCCTGCGGCGCCCCTGGGGCCTCTGCCCGCCGCCCAGGCCGGCCCCCTGGTGAAGAGGGAGGCGCACGCGGTGGCCCACCACGGCCTGCAGCCCCAGTCCATAGCCCCGCAGCCCCGGGGCTCCCTCCCAACGCACGTGCCTCCCTCCCTGGGCGCCTTCTCCGGTCCCGGCCAGGTGGTGCCCGGCGGCCTCCATTTGCACAGCCTCAGGTGGGGAGAGGGCCTGGTCCTGGGTGGGAAGAGACGGTGTGCCCGTGGGTGGGGGCAGGCAGGGAAGAGGCCCGGGGCCGGGGCCGGCCAGTCACCTTGAGCCCTGTGTCCCTCAGCAGGAGCAGCACAGGCAGTGGGGGTCCCCCGGGCCTGGCCAAGCACGTGTCACTGTCGCCGCTCGGGCCCGGCCCCCACCTCTCTACCTCACACCTGGCGCTCCGGTCCCAGGTGCAGCACCAGCACCACGCAGCGGCCATGTTCGCCACCCCCCCAGCACTGCCCCCACCCCCGGCGCCTCCCACCAGCAGCCTGGTCATCCCAGGACACCCAGCCGGTAGGTGTCAGAACCAGGAATCCGCTCCCCTGGGCCAGGGAGCAGAGCCCCGGGAGGCCCTTAGTCAGCTGCTGCCCCTCTCAGTCGTTCTTGGGGCTGCAGCAGGCAGCCCTCCACTGTGCAGCGACCCTCGCTCCTCCCGTCGGGTGGCCTGCAGGGGCTCTGCGCCCCCTCCCGCCTGTGACTGACTCCCTCCCCGTGCCCCAGGGTGGTGCCCGCTGGGGTGTAGGACTAGTCCCGAGGGATTTCTCCCTTAGCCCCGAGAATCAGCCTGGGGAGACTGCCTGTGACAGGGACTCTGGGGCGCGTCCACTCCGTCCCTCCAGTGCCCTTCCATGGAAGCAGAGGGACCCAGGGGCAGGGCTCACCGACTTCTCTCTTGCCTCTAGATGCCAGCCTGTTGATCTCATTCAACCAGCCAATCATGTATTGCCAGCCTCATTCGGGGATTCTGATTGGTACTTGGTCACAGGCTCCTCTCTTCCCTCCACCCTTGGGCCCGCACGTAGGGAGCAGCCACCACGGCTTGGCCTGCCGAGTCCAGGTGACTATCCGCCTCGCCCGCCGGGAGCCCGCGGCCAACGTGCCTCTCTGTCTCTCTCTCTTTTTCTCTTGTAGATCACGAGCTGCTCAGGCAAGAGCTGAACACGCGGTTTCTGGTGCAGAGTGCGGAGCGGCCTGGCGCCTCCCTGGGCGGGGGGGCTCTGCTGCGGGCCGAGTTTCACCAGCACCAGCACACACACCAGCACACACACCAGCACACACACCAGCACCAACACACATTCGCCCCTTTCCCCGGGCTGCCCCCGACGCCGCTGGTGCCGCCGGCCGCACCCCCGCCGGTGCGTAGGCCCACGTGCCAGCAGGGGCGGGGCGGGACCGCAGCAGGCACACACAGATTCACACGTGCAGGCGCAGGCAGCACACACGAGGTGGGGCGCCCCTCTCCCCGTGGGTCTGTGTCCAGACCCCCCCGGGCCCTCCAGCCGGGGTGCCAGACCATCGGAGCTGTCCTGTGCTTGGACAGATGCCCGTGTCCACAGGTGGGGCCGGCTGCCCCCTTGCTGAGTCCCCAGCATGTACCTGCAGCCGGACACCAGGGGTTCACCCCCACTTCTGAGCAGCTGCTGTGTGGGGCCGCATCCTCGGTCGGCAGCCTGGGTGCATCCTGTAGCTTGTTCTCAGCCAGTGCTTTAGGCCTTCCACTGCCCGTGACCTCAGCTGCCCTCTCCTGGGGCCTTGAAGGCTACCCGGCAGGAGGGACTATGGAGAGGAGGACACCCCACCCCCGGGCGTAGCTCACAGCGAGGGGCCAGTACTCCAGCCTGGAGACAGCTGGACATAGGCTGTCTACTTTAGAAGGCACAGCGCCCCGTGCAGGCTGCTGCCCAGTGGGTGGGTGAGGGGCCCACGGAGGGTGGACAGCAGGTACTTGAAGCCTCACCTCATCTTTTTTTCCCTTGCAGTTTGATAAGTTCTCACCCAAGCTGGACAACCCCTACTTCCGACATTCCAACGTGAGTAGCCCTGTGCTTGGGCCCTGCTGGGGGGCGGGGAAGCTGCCCCTGGGTGTGGGTGGGGCCAGGAGGCCTCCACGGGCCAGGAGGCCTCTGCCCAGAATGCTCTCTCTTTTTTGCAGCTCTTCCTGCCCTTCCCTCCCACGGGCCCAGGGCTGCCTGCCCTGCTTGCACACTCTGGCCCCTTTGGGTCCCTGCAGGGTGCTTTTCAGCCCAAGGTACAGGCGCTGGGGGTCCAGGGCGGGGCTCATGTGGGAGGAGGGCTAGGAAGCAGCACCCATCCATCCTGGAGCTCGGCTGTGTGGCTGCCAGGCAGGGGCCTGTCTGCAGTCTGCCGCGCTGTTTCTGAGCAGGGCAGGGTCCGAAGCATGTGCCTGAGAAGACGGCCAGGTGGCACGGTGCCATTGCCGGGCCCTGGCGGGAAGGAGCAGAAGAGCCAGGGTGCTGGGCGGGAGGGGCCACAGCCTCTCCCACGCAGCCGGGGGGCCCGCCTCCCTTCAGCTCTCTCCAGGGCTCCAGGGAAGAGGACTAAGCCTCACATGGGCCATACTCCCTATGGCCCCTTATCTGCCTGGGCAGAGGCCCCCTGGGCGAGCGGCCAGGCCACAACATGGAGGACCCCACGGGAAGGCCTGGACCCAGCCCAGAACCAGGAAGCTCCGGCTCCCTGGCCTGGCGCTTAACTCCTCCCTCAGCAGAAGGGTTACTCACTTCCTCTTCCTCTCTGCTTGCCTCCTCAGACTTCAAACCCCATCGAGGTAACAGGCCGGGCCAGTGCGGTTCACACTCTGCTACAGAAAGCCCCTGGGGTAGGTGTCCCCAGCCATGCACCCCTGCCCCCTGCAGCCCTCCAGCGCCCCTGCACCTGTCCTGCTGCACAGCCTAGATGTGACCACTGCTCTCTCTGTCGACCACAGGTGTCCGACCCATACCGGACAGCAGTCAGGGTAAGTGTGCTCGCCTGGGGAAATCACACTGGACCCTCCTGGTTGGCCTTGGGTGGCTGTGATGGCAGGACTCGGGAAGGAAAGGGCTGGGAGAGGCGCTGGCCCCACTGAGCACACCCCGGTCCTGTCGTAGAAACCAGGGAAGTGGTGTGCCGTGCACGTGCAGATCGCCTGGCAGATCTACCACCACCAGCAGAAGATGAAGGTGAGGCTAGGCCAGGTGGGCACGCCGCTGGGGTCTCTCCAGTGGGACCAGCTGGGAGGCGCCGCCTGCCCGCAGCCTGGCTGGAGCCTGGTCAGGAGTGAGCTGGTGTGTTCACACATGCCTACCCAGGTGTCTTATTTGAGGCAGGCAGTTGGGGTGGAGTGGGGGGTAGAGAGACCCCTTCAGGAGGCTAGCATGACCGTTGGGACCCCCGGCCCTGTTTTCACGATGGTCCTGTGGTTCTCGGAGCCTCTGGGTGCATCTCCTGCATCGTATGTCCTAAGTGCACTTTGAAAAGTCGGTGGAAAGGGATTTATCACAGAGTACTGTCTGCATATGCACGTGGGGGCGTACAGTGGAGGGCTCCCTCAGGGCTGGGGTCACTGCCTGATGGCAGTGGGAGAGTAGCCGTGGCCATCTCCCGAGAGACCTAGTGGTGCCCTGGGGAATGGGCTGCACAGCCCTCCGGCCTGACCCCCACTTCCTCACGGCCTTCCCCAAGCTGGAGGGCCTTGCAGCCAGCCCCGGAGACAGCTGGTGCACCTGCCAGCCAGTACGGCTGCGAGAGCGGTCGTCTCCGTTTTACTTAATAAATTCAGCTTTTAAAACACAACTGTGTCCTTGAAAAAATCAATTATTTGGAACAACAGGCCTGTGCATGTACATTTTCAACTGAATTTTACAAAATCTAAGTTCAGGTAGACTTTTTCATGATCCCTACTTCCAAATTAAGGTCCTAAACATAAGGCACATCCTTATGTGATAAATAAAATCAGATTTCACAGGAAATAGAAAAGGGCAGGCATGTTGGCTCATGTCTGTAATCCTGTTTGGGAGGCAGAGGTCAGCCAAGGCAAGACGTGGCACCCCATCTCAACAAAAAGGCTGAGCATGGTGGTGCACACGATTATCCCAACTCTGTGGGGGCCTAAGTAGGAGGACCTGTCAGGAACTAGGCCTGGGCATAAACATGGGACCCCACCTAAAAGTAACGAAAGCAGCGTGGCCTAGCACAGGCGAGGCCTGCACTGGAACAGAGTGGAGTGGGAAATACCTCATTATTGGCTTTCCATTTCGTTCTTATGGTAACATTTGAGCTTTCTGTTCTTTTTTTTCCAATTTTTTTACCTTTGCCATCGGTCGTGAGGTTTGAACTCAGGGCCTGAGCTTTTTTTACTTAAGGCTAGTGCTCTACCACCTTGAGCCACAGCTCTATTTCCAGATTTTGAGTGATTAAGAGAGTCACAGGGACTTTTCTGCCAGGGCTGGCTTCAAACCACAATCCTCCGATCTCAGCCTCCTGAGAATGAGGATAGGTTACAGGCGTGAGCCCCTGGCACCAGCTGGAGCTCTCTTCTTCCCACCATCAGCCCCCTGAGGCCCCTGTGAGCCTTGGCCAGGGCCCCCGAGGTGGGCCGGCCTCCGCAGGTGGTTCCTGCCCATGCTCTGTCCCTCAGCAGATGCAGCTGGACCCTCCCAAGCTGGAGGTGGGTGCAAAGCTGGACCTGTTCAGCAGGCCCCCCGCGCCAGGCATGCTCTCGGGGTTCCATTACCCACAGGACTTGGCCCGGCCCCTCTTCTCCGGCACAGGTAAGACCTCTCCTAGGCCAGCCTCCAAAGATAGCTTTCCTTTTAGTACATACACCCCTCTCACAGAAACATGTGCTGTCCTCTCAGTGATAGAGCAGTTAGCAGAGGGGAGGGGAAGGCAGAGGCAGAGGCGGTGGGGGTGGACGCCCTGTAGAAGGTTAGGGGCCGGCACCCGCCCGGCATGCTCAGCGTGAACACTAGAGGGCGCTGTCGGACCTCAGCCATGGGTGTGGTGGGAACCTCCTGAAACCCAGATTCTGCACCTGCCCTTTCTACAGGAGCCCTCTTCCACAGTCGGGTCCCTAGCCCAAGGCCTGACCCACCTCTGTCCCCGCATCGCCCTTGCTCAGGCTTCCCAGCTGGCGGCTCTCTGCTGCCAGATCAGATAGACAGTACACAGGATGTAGGCAGATGCATCTGTTCACTGGACTGATGCATGCTGGCCCCTCTTAGCTCTCTCCCACAGAGAGCAGGGGTATTCCCTGCAGCCTGGCCCAGGGCTCTACCAAGTGTCCTGTTCTGACAGCTGCCTCCCTTCTGGCTACCACGTCCCTTGTGCCACTTTGCTTTCCCGTAAGAACTTGAACCCACCTCCTAGAGTCACTAAAGACTCCGGGTTCTTACTGGGACTGGGTTGGACATATATATGGACTTGAGTTTATCTTCCTCGAATGTCTTCCTACCTGTAAGCCCAAGCCCCAGCTCCACAAGTAAACTTAAGTCACGGAAGAAGAGAAGAACCCCAGAATAGGACTGGAAATTGAAGTCTTTAGTGGATTGTTGCTAGAAAGCAAAGGTGCATGTTGATTTTGAGGGAAGTGTAGCTGTCTCTCTCCTGTACTTCCCCGCCTTGCTAACCCTGATCCCTACAGTGTACAAACCTTCTCTCCTCTCAGCCTGAGAGACCCAGTAACCCTTAAAAAAGAAAAAGCTTTGTGAACCTGCATGTCACCCTAGTGAGGGGCCATGGGAGGCGTCTCTACCACCCCAGCGTTCCTGTCCGTGTGCTTTGTTTCCTTGCTACAGTCTGGTCTAACTGGAGGGGGAGCTCAGCCATTCTCACTGTGTGCTCTGATGCTTGTCTCTGGATTGATGATAGGCTGTGCCCATGGCTAGTTGGAGAGCATGGGGACACATCCTGTGGGTGCCCTGTGCAGAGCGAACCTCCGCCATGGCGTGCGTGGCGAGAGCCTTGCTCCTGACGTGCGGGGCGCGCACCCCATGTGCAGGTGGACTCAGGCCAGTAGCCCCAGCACTACTCTCCATACTTGGTTCTGGGTGCCTCAGCGATTGGTCAGCACGGTTGCCATGGGGACCCTTGTGGGCTGGACCCTGTGTACAGGGTCTCACAAACAAGTTAGACATGTCCCACACACAAGACCCGGTAGCCAGGATCATTTCTGGCTGGTGAGCTAAAAGCTCCGGTTACTGGCCTTAGGAGCAGCCATATTGGCTCACTCGACTTGGGCCTTTGCCTTCAGTTTCTGCCCCAGATCCCGGCGCTTTGAGGGAGCCTTGGCACAGTTGGCACTCTTGCTGCACCCCCAGGTCCCAAATAGTTGTCACCAAAGTCACGTCAACTCCAGCTCTGGGGAGGGGACTGACCTCTGCCCCTGCCCACTACCTTCACAGGGGCTGGGGGGCTTGGGGCAGAGGGGCCAGCTTCCACCGGTGACTGGCACTGCAGGCTGGACATGCCAGGTACACCTTCTGGGGTTCTTTTAACCTGGCTACCCAATACTCAGGTGCTGCCCATCTGGCTACCGACCCATTTGGACCTTCGACCCATCCCAGCAGCTTCCTGCCGGCTGGTCACCTGACAGGTGGGTGCCGGACCCCGTGCAGCCTGGCCGGAGGGCGGGGGGCTCTAGGAGGTGAGTACCGGTGGTGGCACCGGCGTCCCTGCCTGCCCAAACCTCTGGGGCCACCCCTGCTGGCCTTGGCGTCCTCCTGAGTCCCCTTTCCCTGCAGACCCCTTCAGTAGAGCAAGCACCTTCGGGGGCCTGGGAAGCTTGGGGAGCCATGCCTTCGGAGGCCTGGGCAGCCGTGTGCTGAGTGAGTGACCGGGGTCCCCTGCGTCCCCTCCCGCGTCCTCCCCGTGTCCTCCCCGCGTCCTCCCCGCGTCCTCCCCATGTCCTCCCCGCGTCCTCCCCCGTGTCCTCCCCGCGTCCTCCC